GTAGAAATATAAGCCGCATAAAGATCCAGAACTATCTTTAAATGGCACTCCATCAAAGTTGTTAAGGAGGCCAAATTCTTAGGTCTAATTTTCGACTCCCATTTAACTTTTTGCCGCATATTAAATCACTTAAAGCCAAATGCCTGAAGGCACTCGATTTGTTGAAAGTTGTTTCCAACTCAAAGTGGGAGGGATCAAACTACCCTCCTCCACCTATATCGATCATTGGTACGCTCCAAACTTGATTATGGCTCCATCGTATATGGTGGAGCCTGCAAAAGCAACCTAAGACTACTTGATTCTGTCCACCACCAAGGCCTAAGACTTTGTCTTGGGTCCTTTAGAACCTCTCCTATTGATAGTCTATATGTTGAAGCAGATGAGCCTTCTCTTTCACAACGTCGTATAAAATTATCTTTACAATACATTACTAAACTATATTCTAGCGAGTCTAACCCTGCATTTAACTGTGTTTTCAATCCCCTCTATGAGGATTTCTACACCAAAAAACCTTCTCTTGTTCCGCCTCTTGGGCACAGAATTAAGCCCTTCATTTCTGCTGCCGGCATTGAGCTGGAAAATATAGCTCCTTCCCGTCTTCTATCTTCTCCTCCTTGGCAATTGGTGAGGCCTGAAGTTGACCTAACTCTGACAAAGTTTAAGAAATCTCAAACTAATGACTTACAATATAAACAAGAATATAATCAATTAAAAAATAATTATAATACTCACAAATCCTTATTTACAGATGGGTCCAAGGATGGTGGCGCGGTGGCTTGTGCCACTGTCATTGGATCCGGAACAATCTCCTCTCGATTACCAGATAACAGCTCTATTTTTACAGCAGAAGCAAACGCCATATTAACAGCCTTAAAATATATTAAAAATCACCCTAAATATCAACAATATATCATCTTTTCTGACTCACTTCTTGCCTTCAGGCTATTAAAAATATTTCTTGTAAACATCCACTTTTATTAGAAATTATTGAATTATATAATGAGCTTGCTACTGGCCAATGCGACATCGTATTTTGTTGGTTACCTAGCCACGTTGGCATTTCTGGGAACACAATGGCTGATCTTGCTGCTAAGGCAGCCCTCAACAAATCTGTGACACCACTTCTTATCCCATACTCTGATTATAAAGCCAGCATTAGAACATTCATCCGTGATCTAATGCAGAAGAAGTGGGACACCCAAGTAGGTATTAATAAATTACATGCCATAAAACCCTACATTGGTTACACCTACTTGGGTTGTCAGTCCAGATTTGAAGAGGTCAGTGTGCGACGATGTCGCATTGGCCACACTAGATATACTCACCAATATTTACTGAAAGGCGAAGATCCTCCGTTTTGCATCCCTTGTGATGAAAGAATCACAGTCAAGCATGTCCTGCTTGACTGTGTTGAATATTCCATCACAAGGGATAAGTATTTTAATGTCAAGACATTGAAGGATTTTTTTTATAATGTTAATTATCATTTAATAGTTGAATTTTTAAAAGAATTAGATTTGTGGACTGATCTGTAAATAGTTAAATATTATATTGTTTGTAGTTTCTATTAGTAACTGAGATTGTTAGTGGCTGTACCCTTAAAGGGGGTTGACGTAGCGTAAAATTATTGTGCTCCTGAGAGGGTACGTAAGTCCCAAAACTTTCAAAGTCAATTTAAACTTGCCAGGATTTTTAAACGTAGTATTCTTGTTCTTTTAATTTTGGCTAACATTTCTTCCAATCGCCAGCAGCTGAAGGGATGGTGTAAATCCAGCTAGGGTCCATGCAGGTAGCAAAAGTAATGTAAGTCCCCATGGTCCCTAGTATGGTGCTCTACCTTCAGTTGTTGGCGATCTATTGCCTATTTTTATATTGTGCTGTCCCCTAAAGTTAAAATGTTTTAGATTTAATTACTAGTTTTACATGTATGTCTGTGATATTCTAGTTGTTTTACTGTCCTTCGTCGGCAGGTTTTTATAATATCTGTATATATATTCTATTTAAAATGTCAAATGTTCTCGTCACGATATGGCTGAAATATTGCCGATGTGACGTTAAATATTAACTCACTCACTCACTCACTCACTTGGTTTGGCCAAAATAGAAAGTTACTACACAAAAATGCGAAATGTGGTTCCGTTGATGTTGGCATCCTGATTAGACCCTCTCTATTATCATGGTGCACTGTTAATGTTCTTAACTCTGTTGAAGGTATTTTATGGTTATCTATGCAACACGTGTTATCTAACAATGTGTACAATATATGTTTATGCTATCTGCCACCCGAACATTCTTCCAGAAGCGGAGATGTTTTTGACACACTTACCCTCAACATATACTCTTACCAAATGTCAGGGGAAGTCCTGGTATTCGGTGATTTTAACAGCAGATGTGGTGACTTGGAAGATCACGTCGTTGGTGTGCATTTTTACCCGATAGAGATGTTATTGGTTTTAAAACCAATAGGTATGGTGAGTGCATGTGTGCTTTTCTTGCCGGACAAATATGTGTATTCTGAATGGTGGGAACAGCAAAGTTAAATATATTACTTCATTATCCACAAAGGGACGTGCAGTTGTTGACTATTGCCTTGTTGCAGATGAAGACTTGTATATGTTCAGTGAGTTCAAGGTTGAGAGAGCAAGTACACTGGTAGATCGTGCACTTGGTTCTATGGATAATGACCCTCGTACAATATCTGACCACTCGTTCCTCACCTGGACACTGAGTACCCAGGAGACCGTATAGCGTAAACCCACTGTATACACTGATGAAACAGATGAGTATATCAAGTTCCTCATGGATAAGGCACCCAATAATTTCGTGTTGGAAGACAACACTGTACATTTTGTACACCTTTCAATTCTGAACTACAAGCGGTTAAAAAAGGAAAATATAGACTCTACATATGACAGTTTTTGTAAATTGATAAAGGACGAAATGTACGACAAGATCTCTTATAAGTGAATCAAATTGAAAATTGGCGTGTGTAATAAACGGAAGAGTCGGAGTAAAGTTTGGTGGTCAGCTTCTTTGACAAAGCAGTGGAACAATCTGTGCACAGCTGAGTCTGCCTATCTACGAACTGATGATGTCAACAGAAACGTTTGAAGGAAAACTGTTTGATGGAAATGTACCAAAAAACAAAGAGATAATATCGACAGGAGATACAAACTGACATTGCAGATAAAAACTAAAGTTATGTCTGTCTGTCTACGTTCAAGCTTACACCGAAAACTGATTTGAGTAAGGTAACAGAGCGGTGCAAGCGCAAACAAACAAAATCAATGGTGGATTAAGGTATAATGGAGTCTTGTACACCAACTGTCATTTCACATATTCTTAAACACCTTTTAGAGTGTATAGCTTCTATCGTATAAGTTCATAATGTTTTAATTTTGTTTGCCTCAGGTTAACCTTTTATACACTTTTTTTTTTATTCAGGGCCATTACAGTTACAACTCATATATACAACGGATAGTTTTTAATTACTTTGAAATACGGTTGAAAACCGTGTTGCCATATGCCCCAACGCCAGCGTTGTTTTCTCTCTCGGCCGACCTCTCTCTCACAACTGCCCGTGGCTCGCATCGTCTCGCCTGGCTGTCACGTGACCCATACTTTTGCTCTAAATATAGCTTACTGCTGTCAACCAAATGATATAACTGGCATATATGTATGTGTGTGTGTGTGAGAGAGAGAGAGAGAGTGACAAGGGTATGTGACACAGTGACAGGGTTATGTGACAAAGTAACAGGGTTATGTGAGGGTAATGTTACAGGCAGCAACAGGTTGTGTGAGGGTAATGTTACAGACAGTGACGGAAATCCGACAGAGAAACTTGGGTATTTGAGGGGGAATGGGACAGACAGCAACAGGGGTATGTGACAGGAATGGGACAGACAGCAACAGGGGTATGTGGACACAGTGACAGGGGAATGGGACACAGTGACAGGGGAATGTGAGGGGAATGTCACAGACAGGGGTGTGTGAGGGTAATGTCCAAAACAGTGACAGGGGTATGTGAGGGGAATGTCATAAACAGTGACAGGGGTATGTGAGGGGAATGTCACAAACAGTAGCAGGGGTATGTGAGGGGAATGTCACAAACAATGACAGGGGTATGTGAGAGGAATGTCACAGACAGTGACAAGGGTATGTGAGGGGAATGTCACAACAGTGACAGGGGTATGTTAGGGGAATGTCACAGATAGTGACAGGGGGTATGTGAGGGGAATGTCAAAAAAGGGTATGTGTGACAGGGGGTATGTGAGGGGAATGTCACAAACAGTGACAGGGGTATATAAAGGGGTAGGGGAATGTCACAGATAGTGACAGGGGTATGTGAGGGGAATGTCATAAACAGTGACAGGGGTATGTGAGGGGAATGTCACAAACAGTGACAGGGGAATGTCACAAACAGTGACAGGGATATGTGAGGGGAATGTCACAAACAATGACGGGTATGCGAGGGGAATGTCAAACAGTGACAGGGATATGTGAGGGGAATGTCACAAACAGTGACAGGGGTGTGTGAGGGGAATGTCACAGACAGTGACAGGGGTATGTAAGGGGAATGTCACAGACAGTGACAGGGTTATGTGAGGGGAATGTCACAGACAGTGACAGAGGTATGTGAGGGGAATGTCACAAACAGTAGCAGGGGTATGTGAGGAGAATGTCACAGGCAGTGACAGGGGTATGTGAGGGGAATGTGACTCAGTGACAGGGGGATGTGAGGAAAATGTGGCAGATAGTAACACATGTATGTACGAGGAACATGGACGATCTTGGTCGGTACATTTACAATTCGAACAACAAACTTTTGTTTTGAGGCAACAGGGCCACGCAACGTTTCATTTTCAATAACTCTACTCACTCTCAAGACACTGAGCAATACTCGTCAGCATTGTAAGGAACATTACGTAACGATTAAAAGCATAACAAAACACGAAAGTCCCGCGGTTTTATCTAAACAGTGAATACTGTCAGCTGGTAATCACTGACCTGCAGCGTGAGCAGTCTTCGGCTGAAAGTGGGTCGCACAGACCTGTGTCCCAGTGTTCAGTCATTGGGTTGGGAGGTTGACAGACAGAGGAGGAAAAAGATGGACCTTCTGCAGGTTACATCTCGTCTCAATCGTAAATCTGTTGTCAAGTCTGTAGGGACGTCTGTTCTCCTGTACGTTACGTACCGAGTGATCAAGTTCCTGATATGGTATAGGCGTTTATACAGCTTCTTCAACAACTGTCAGGGAGTCAAGGACTTCTCCTGGAGGACAGGCAATCTGCATTTGGTGAGTCAGTTTATCTCGCTCTTGGCCATCGTTTGCTTTGGAACAAAGTCATCTGAGATAGTATACAGACAGTTTTCTGTTACTGTTGCTCTTTCTGCATCGCCGTTTATTTTTGCAGCGTAACCTGCTTCTCATTCAGTCACCGCTAGTCAAGATAGGACGAAATGAAGTTGTCATTACACGTCTGTGTCCGTTCATGCATAGTATATAGGATTAATGATTACGAACTCATTCATGCCAGTAACTATGCAGAGAGTATTAGGTGTGACTAGTTTAAGACTAAGCAATACATGGAAATATAGAGCATAAAAGTTTACGCAGCTAAGATCATTCAAAACATCATTTTATTACCCAGCTTTCGACATTGTTACAGCTAGGACAGGATGACAATTGACTCGCGGCCAGTGACATTATGAACAGCCATTATTTCACTACTCGTGTCTATGCCGTGAGCATGCATGCGTCTGTGAAGGGTCACCCCTGTGAAGCTCAGTCAACTGAGTATCTGTTAGGGACAATGTATGTTACGCAATATGATACACCACTGTGTAAGATCTCTTCTCACACAATAGGCTGCGTCTATAAAAATAGCTGCGTCTCACATGCCGGGGAAAGATATCGCTATGAAAATGCTGATGTCATGTGTAGGTTCACAGAGCGGACAAACCTCGCAGCCGAGGTCACGCTGATTGATTCAACCCGCATCGCAGCGACATGTCTGTGACAGCTATATCTGGTATATATAATGATTCAACGTACACAGATACAGTCCCCATGGGTTCAAATGAGAACGATGAATGATTAAATAACTCGAAATAGGGATAGGTGCACAAAACATAAATACGACACATGGTCCTGAAACCTCTGTACCCAACAGGATCTGAAATCTGACGTTTTATGATCGATCCCTGAAAACGTTGTTTAAGAAACTATCATGTAACATTGTTCTATTTTCACGCTTCACATCGAGGGGATAATACACAGCTGGTGGAACAGCGCCGACCGTCGTTTGCGCCTGAAGTGCGTGCCGGCGCTGTTCCACCAGCCGTGTGTCACCCCTCGGTATGATGCGTGAAAATAAAACAACAGAGGTTTTGCCAAATACAAAAATATCTCTCATTGATTACACAAACATCACAGGGCTTGATTCGACCGCACACCCGTTTTGTACGGATACATCGTCATCCACTTGTGTCAAGATCTTTCAGTTGAGACTCAAACTCGAGTTTCTATCGACTTGCAGCAAAAACAAAAGAAAATTGGTAGGTGTCATGAGTGGTGCTCGATAAGCCAATCATCCACGATTCGGTAAGAGTTCCTCTCGTTCCCCCACCCCAAATAATATTTATAAATATACTAAAATTATTAACAAAACTTAACATAACAATTACTAGAGAACACACAAAATGACTAAAAGTCCAAAATTTAAGTTAGGGTTGGGTTTAGAGTAAGGTTTAGGGTTGGGGGAACGGAAGGAACTCTTTCCCATGATTATGTCTACATTAAGTTTTTAAACGATTGCATGCGCGGCAAAGCAGGCGGTTGGGGTGCAGCGAATTGTCCGGCCTTGTCATGATGTATTGTACTGTGAAGCTTTTTGAGTCGGGAGTCATCTCAAAAACAATATTTGTTCTTCTTTATCCCCGCAAAGACACGAGGGCCTGTTATTCACCGAGGTTGTGTATTTGTTTCAGTTCCCTAAGTTGTTTGAGAAGCGTGTTGCAGTGGAGCAGGACTGGATGAAGAGATACCCCAAGTACTACCGGGTCTGGATAGGGCCCTTCAATCCAGTCATCAGGGTCTACCATCCAGACACAATCAGAGCCATCATCAAGTCCACAGGTGACCATAAAATTACTCCGTTTTGTGTGTTTTGAAATACGTTTCAACGATATCGGAATTGCGAGTTGATTTTCATCACTTTGTTCTTTTTCGGTAGTAAATTGATGAAAATGTTACTTGGCAAATTGGAAATTCTGTGCTAAAACATCTTACCTTGAGTAAATGCCCCTGCAAATCCATAAAATTCCCTTTGGTTGTGTACTAATAGTTACAGGTGTGCTTCGTTTAAAGAGTAATGTTCCAATTAAAAATAAATTTCATTATACAGAAACAAATTTAAAGAATCTTGACCCTCTCGTTGCAATTGTACTTATAGAACCCAAGGCAACGGGATTCGGGGGACCATATGCAACGTTACTGCCCTGGCTTGGGGAGGGTCTCCTGGTTGCTGGGGGACAACGCTGGTACCGATCTCGTCGACTCCTTACCCCCGCCTTCCACTTCGACATCCTCAAACCCTACGTCGACGTCTCCAACAACGCCATTGACACCATGCTGGTTAGTTGAGACTTAATACATACCTCTACGTCACCCCAATAATTCAAATATTACAATTTTATTATGGGGTTGAATCCCAGATCTTTATAAATTTAAATTTGGTTTTTATAGTCCTTGCTGTTTTAACGCCAGTCGCCTGAGACATAATTACGCCCCTTGGACACGCCAGGATCTTGGTTCGAATGCCGGTTTATGTTCCTAGGTTCTTGTTCCTTGTTAGCACTATACCCTTCATGAGTTTTACTAAAGTGGTAAACGTCTTAGACCTTAGGCTTTCGGGGCTTCCTCCCACACGCTGTTACGCGCTGATATAATTGAACCAGGTTAAAAACCGGCGTTGATCCAAAGTCGCTGAACTCCTTCCCATGAGGGCCAGCGACTCTACACTCAATCGAGGGTGTCGTGTTTCTGCAGTGAGTTTTCTTAATCGAAACTCTTGCACAGAAGCAAGAAAGGCAAAGCCAAATCGCTTCAGAAAGCTGACACTTGATTGGTTAAAGTTGAAGTTATCGTCAGATCTCCATAGAGAAGCATTGCATAAAAGTAACAGATATGACTTTAATAATACTGACGCTGCGAACATCACAGTGGACCGTCTATCGAATGAAATCAGAATAAAGGTTGAGTCATGGTAAACATATACCTAAACACATGTAAATGTTTTGATGCCGTTTGTATTGTTAAGAATCAAGATAATGCGCGTTCAAACAATTAATGAAGTTTTCATTGCATGAACGCGTCTGTTAATGTCCCGTACATTTCAATGTCAGTGGGACTACGACAGTGTACCTTTTAGGTATACATATTTGAATATTAGATTACAAATTCACTAGATATTCAAGTACACCAGCTGGTGTCATTGAGACTCGTGGTTATATGACACCAGTATTCCAGGCTCATAATATAGCATGCCAGTTTATTTTTATTAACAAATTTAATTTGTCATTATAATATGTGATATATTTTCATCGTGTCTGCGTTGTGTCGTCAATAAACATGCCTCCGGATAAACTGAACTACTCGTTCAATTTCCTAAACATGTGTTGACAATCAGCTGAGAATATTTGCCGTATGTATTGTGTGCCCTGCTGCCCTGTCTGCGGTATTGGTAATACTTAAATTGCGGTGGCAGTAGGCAATGATAATTAGTACACTCTTGTGGTGTTAATTACCATGTACCATGATTATATTTATATAATCTGTAAGCAACCAATATTCAAGTTTAGATTTGTATCATTATTTTTTGTTCTTTTTATTTATTTTATTTATTTTTTTGGGGAAGGGGGGGTTCATTTGTGTCTTAAATTCTATTTGTCTTCAGAATGGTCGTGATGATGTTATGTATAGTATGTTAGTGAGTGAGACTGGTTTTAGCAATATCCCAGCAATAGGGGTTTCACACATTGTACCCGTGTGCGGAATTGACCCCTGATTTTCGGCGTTGCGAGCGAAAGCTTTAACCGCTGGACTACCCCACCGCCACGATGTTGTTCTAAGGAGCTAGGGATGACGAACTGCTTAATGTGGACGGTTTTACCAGGCCTGGGAAAGGGATCAACCCAGTGGTTGAATTTTGTGACACTGAAGATTCCCCATGTGGTTACTTCGTATGTGACGTGGTGTAAGCATTTACATGTCAACATTTGGTTAACAGGAGAAGATTGACAAACACGTGGATGAAGGCACCAGCTTCGAGTTGTTCAACATAGTCGGTCTCTGTACATTTGACATCCTGTTGAGATGCGCCATGTCGGTAGAGGAAAACATACAGCAACAGGGGTGAGTAGAGGATATGTGATCGATAAAAATAAGGTTGAGTACTGGGAACTTTTGACTACTATAACATTGGTGTGGGAGGGAATTCGACAAACCACAACAGGAGTAAGTACGGGGCACTTGAAGGACCACAACAGGAGTAAGTACGGGGAACTTGAAGGACCACAACAGGAGTAAGTACGGGGAATTCGACAAACCACAACAGGAGTAAGTTCGGGGAATTCGACAAACCACAACAGGAGTAAGTTCGGGGAATTTGAAGGACCACAACAGGAGTAAGTACGGGGAATTTGACAAACCACAACAGGAGTAAGTTCGGGGAATTTGAAGGACCACAACAGGAGTAAGTACGGGGAATTTGACGGTCCACAACAGGAGTAAATACGGGGAATTCGACAAACCACAACAGGAGCAAGTTCGGGGAATTCGACAAACCACAACAGGAGTAAGTACGGGGAATATGACGGACCACAACAGGAGTAAGTACGGGGAATATGACGGACCACAACAGGAGTAAGTACGGGGAATATGACGGACCACAACAGGAGTAAGTACGGGGAATATGACGGACCAAAACAGGAGTAAGTTCGGGGAATTTGACATAGCACAACAGTAGTAAGTTCGGGGAATTTGGCAAACCACAACAGGGGTAAGTACGGGGAATTTGACGGACCACAACAGTAGTAAGTACGGGGAATATGACAAACCACAACAGGAGTAAGTACGGGGAATTTGACAACCACAACAGGGGTAAGTACGGGGAATTTGACGGACCACAACAGTAGTAAGTGCGGGGACTTTGACAAAGGGACTTTGACAAAGCACAACAGTAGTAAGTTCGGGGAATTTGGCAAACCACAACAGGGGTAAGTACGGGGAATTTGACGGACCACAAAAGTAGTAAGTTCGGGGAATTTGACAAACCACAACAGGAGTAAGTGCGGGGAATTTGACGGCCCACAATGGGAGAAAAGTACGGGGAACTTGACGGCCCAGAAGGGGAGTAAGTACGGGGAATGTGACAAACCACAACAGGAGTAAGTGCGGGGAATTTGACGGCCCACAATGGGAGAAAAGTACGGGGAACTTGACGGCCCAGAAGGGGAGTAAATACGGGGAATGTGACAAACCACAACAGGAGTAAGTTCGGGGAATTTGAAGGACCACAACAGGAGTAAGTACGGAGAATTTGACGGCCCACAATGGGAGTAAGTACGGAAAATTTGAAGGACCACATCAGCAGTAAGTACGGGGAATTTGACTAACCACAACAAGATTAAGTACGGGGAATGTGACGGACAACAACAGTAGTAAGTTCAGGAAATTTAATGGACCACAACAGGAGTAAGTTTGGGGAATTCGACAAACCACAACAGGAGTAAGTTTGGGGAATTTCACAAACCACAACATGGGTAAGTACGGGAAATTTGACGGACCACAACAGGGGTAAGTACGGGGAATTTGACAAACCACAACAGTAGTAAGTGCGGAGAATTTGACTAACCACAACAGGAGTAAGTACGGGGCATTTGACGGACCACAACAGGGTTAAGTTCGGGGAATTTGACAAACCACAACAGTAGTAAGTGCGGGGAATTTGACAAACCACAATGGGAGTAATTACGGGGAATTTGACAGCCCACAATGGGAGTAAGTAGGGGGAATTTGACTAACCAGAACAGGAGTAAGAGGGGGAATATGACGGACCGCAACAGGAGTAAGTACGGGGAATTTGACGGACAGCAACAGTAGTAAGTTCGGGAAATTTGACGGACCACAACAGGGGTAAGAACGGGGAATTTGACAAACCACAACAGTAGTAAGTGCGGGGCATTTGACTAACCACAACAAGAGTAAGTACGGGGAATTTGACAAACCACAACGGGAGTAAGTGCAGGGAATTTTACGGCCCACAATGGGAGTAAGTACGGGGAATATGACAAACCACAACAGTAATACTTTCGGGGAATTTGAAGGACCACAACAGGAGTAAGTACGGGAATTTGACGGACCACAACAGTAGTAAGTTCAGGAGGAAAGTACGGGACGGAATTTGAATTTGACGGACCACTACAGGCATAAGTACGGGAAATTTCGAATAACACGAGTGACGGACCACAACAGGAGTAAGTTCGGGAATTTGACAAACCACAACAGGAGTAATTTCGGGGGAAGTTCGGGGAACGGACCACAACACGAGTAAGTAATGGGGAAATTTGACAAACCACAACAGGCATAAGTACGGGGAATTCGACAAAACACAACAGTAGTAAGTTCGGGGAATTTGACTAACCACAACAAGATTAAGTACGGGGAATTTGACGGACAACAACAGTAGTAAGTACGGGGAATTTGACGGACCACAACAGGAGTAAGTACGGGGAATTTGACAAACCACAACAGGAGTAAGTACGGGGAATTTGACCACAACAGGGTAAGTACACAACAGACCACAACAGTAAGTAGAATTTGACAAACCACAACAGAGTAAGTAGGGAAATTTGACGGACCACAACAGAGTAAGTACGGGGAATTTGACGGACCACAACAGGAGTAAGTACGGGGAATTTGACAAACCACAACAGAGTAAGTACGGGGAATTTGACGAACCACAACAGAGTAAGTACGGGGAATTTGACAAACCACAACAGTAGTAAGTTCGGGGAATTTGACAAACCACAACAGGAGTAAGTACGGGAAATTTGACGGACCACAACAGGTAAGTACGGGAATTTGACAACCACAACAGTAGTAAGTACGGGGAATTTGACAAACCACAACAGTAGTAAGTGCGGGGAATTTGACTAACCACAACAGAGTAAGTACGGGGAATTTGACGGACCACAACAGAGTAAGTACGGGGAATTTGACAAACCACAACAGTAGTAAGTTCGGGGAATTTGACAAACCACAACAGGAGTTTGACAAACCACAACAGGTACGGGGAATTTGACGGCCACAACAGGAGTAAGTACGGGGAATTTGACAAACCACAAAAGAGTAAGTTCGGGAATTTGACGGACCACAACAGGAGTAAGTACGGGGAATTTGACGGCCCACAATGGGAGTAAGTACGGGGAATTTGACGGCCCACAACGGGAGTAAGTACGGTCAATGTGACAAACCACAATATGAGTAAGTATGTTAAATTTGACAGACCACAACAGGTGTATGTACGGGTAGTGTGACGGACCACAACAGTAGTAAGTACGGGGAAGTCGACAGACATCAGTATGAGTAAGTACGGGGAATTCGACAGAGCAAAAAGCATAAATGCTGAGGCACGCTGCAACATGAACGTATGGGGGAATTTGACAAACACAATATTTAAGTCATTAGTGCGAACGCCTCGCAACTCTCAAACATAATAGAGTAGTGGTACCCATCTTAACTCGGTTGCTCACTATGCTTGCTGGTGCCATCACTGATTGTAGTCATTTGATATATTTACAGCATTTTGCCCTATTTAACTCAACAGAAATGTTCACTCTGACATCATAAAGTAAAAGTACACTCACCCACGAGTTACCTCCCTTTTCCCGCGCAAACAGTCATGTGACCAGCCTTACTTGTCACTCACTCCTGATTATTTTTTGCCCATGCACCTGGCTCTACTGTGAAATCTGAAGTGTTTCCAGCGGGGAGGTTGGGAGGGCTTGACCTCATGAGTCAGGATAAGTATAAAATATCAATTTTACTTACAAAATTACATATATTTCCTTATCCAGACAATCTTTTCTTACTTCCCTCTTAGACAAGTGAATCTTCTAGATTCATGTGGATTAAGATATACTAGTATCTTCATTTTACTAGTTGTCTATGACTACCCATAGATTATGATAAGATCGTTATCATAAATGAGTTGCAACCCCTTAACGTATCTTTACCCGTACAGAGTCTTAATCACTGATGCTAGCCTAGTCTAGACTGCGCGCATGGACTTTCAAACTAGAACATTTCCGTAGTAAATGTTATCAACAAGTCAACGTGATAAAGGGTGAGATTTCCAACTCAGCGCCTTTGTGGAACAGCTAGTTGTTGTGCTACAACACGAGGCCGAAACTGGTGAATGCCGGAGACGTCTTCGGTGGCTATGTCTCGGAGGTAGTGGTTGGCAAACACCGTATCCGACTTCCAAAAGCAGCACTCCATAATTGATGATATTGAGCAATTTTCATGCAGAGCGAGTGTTGACGCCAGTGCTCTGACTTCATGTGGGTTGGAAGCTCTCGGAGGTTCTAGTCCTGCTGCTTTATAGGCTCTCAATAGGACGGCTCTCATCCAGAACGATATTGTCCTTCTTGAGACTTCTGCTGATGTCTCCGTCGACAAGGGGATGAAATGCTCTTGAATTTTCTTCTCCTTGTTTTAGTCTTTTGAAGATATATTTTCAAAGCTCTGACAGGACACAAGGATTAGTCCTTGGTGTCCTCTGGACCGAGGATCGTAGATAGCGCTGGTACATGGAACTGTCTATCTGGTTGACCAGGTAGTTAATTCTTTGCAATAAAGTCCCATCTAAGTCCTAGATGTACTGCAGCACGGTGCCCCGTGTCGAATCTAGTTCGTCAAAAATCCAGCGCATGTACCTCTGACATTCGAGCTGCCGTGGCTAGGGCAAGTAGAAACAGATGTTTTGTATGAGTAGCTCGAAGGTTGTCTGTTCTAGAGGTTCGTAGGCATCACTCATGAGATGTCGTAGAATTACGTTCAGATCCCAAGCGGGTGCTCTGAATTTATTTTGCTGGTCTTCCAGTTTAAAAGAGCGTAGCAGAGCAAGTAATTCAGGTACTTTCGTCAACTTGATGCCTGACTTCATAGTGACGACTGTACTAATGGCTGCCAGATATGTAGATAGTGTCGAACCTTTCAGATGTCTAGTGTATCTAAGGTGACATAGATATTCCGCCACTTGAGGATGAGAAGCTTTCATAGCTGTGAAGCCTTTCCGCCTTGCATACTGTTCAAACTTCTGCCATTTGTCGTCATACAAATTGCGAGTAGATCTGCGTAACGCTAAGGTTACTGCTTTCGCTGCTCTGGCAGAGTACCCTCTTTTCTTTAGACAAGTTTTGATACGGTCCACACATGTAGCTGGAACAATGTTTGTTTCCTGTGGACTTGTTTGGTGTGCGGATGTGTGAGTAGTTTCGGCCATTCTGGTAGATTGAGGGTTGGACTTCCGAGTTCTTCTATTAGATCTAGGAACCAGACTCTCACTGGCCAATAAGGCGCGACCAAAGTCAGATGTAGCGCCTGTGTCTGTTTGATCTTCAACAGTACTTTCGGTAGTAAGCTCGGAGGTGGAAACGCGTAAGCGTTTAGTCCTTCCCCTGATATGCTCAGTGCATCTGGTACTGGTGAAACAAACGTCGGTAGGTGTTTGTTGAACCTCGTGGCGAACACGTCTATGCATGGGGATCCTATTTCCCTTATGATGAGCCGAAATGCTTCTGGATGGAGCATCCATTCCGTGGGTGACGGGCGAAGTGGTCGGGAAAAAACGTCTGCTAGTACGTTATTGGCTCCTGGTATGTGACACGCCTTTATCCAGATGTGTGCATCCTCCGTGATGTTGAACAACTGGAATGTGAGCTGAAGTAGGCTTGGCGATCTTGTTGAACCTTGCCGATTTATGGAGAATGCCACTGTTGAGTTGTCCGTGTGGACCATCAACATTCTGTTGATCAGCGAGCTCGACCATAGTTCTAAGGCGTTGATCACAGCTTTCATCAGATTGATGTGAAAATGCTGTTTCTGACCACTTCCCTGATCCTACTTGGTTGTTGAGATGCGCACCCCATCCTTGTAGCGATGCATCTACGTAAAGATGTGTGTCGAAGGCCTGCTCTTGTAAATAGCTCCCTCCGCAGACATTCGACCTGTGAGTCCACCTTAGTCCTACTGGCTTCAATCATTCCTATCTCCTAGTCTCATGTCAACACGCCGTACATAAACCTCTTCTATTGTACAAACCAATACCCGCCATGTATATATTTCTCCTTGTGCAAATGTTGTGTATCATTTGCTTGATAACGGTGTTAGGATCTACACCGAAACATCGCAACTACTACTGCAACAAAGAAGTTGTCTATCCATAAAAAGTGTTCCACTTCATCATACCAGCTTCTAAATGCCACTTAAGGAAGCAACGCAATATGTACAACGCAAGGTGGAAGAACATGGCTTAATGCATGACGGGCATTGGGGGTGATGATCAGCCACTGATAGCCGGAACCTGCAAACACTGCAAGATTTCATGAAATGTAAACAAGTTACATTACGATGAAAATACGTCATAAAATACAAATAATATCTTCAAAATGTTTACATATAATACAAGCTAGTTATAGCCAAATACCATACACAGCGTAACTGCGATAAATAGGATCTAAATATAAAGGATATATGCCGCATACGGGACTCCAGGGCTCGCGCAACCATCCGCTTGGGAGAAAAGGGAGAGAGTGACAAGAAAGGCTGGCCGTATGACTGTTTGCGCGGGAGAAGGGAGGTAACTCGTGGGAGAATGTAGTTTTACGTCCGCTTTAGGGAACTACAATTCGTATAGAAAAGGGAGATCAGCAAAGATCATGAGTCAGGATAAGGGAAAATATTATTGTTAAGAATGAGGACATTCTGCTGAGTACTTCAATGTGTGTTCGTATTATAGATAACCGCATTTAGCATGATATAATATGTTTTTTTTCTGGAAGCCGCGTTGACTAAGTGGGTCAGGTGGCAGACTTTGTGTGCTGGCGATTGGGTGCCTGACTCTATGGATGTGGATTCGAATCACGGATGAGATTCAACCTAACACAAGTACCAGAATCTGTACATTATACTGAGAAATTGCCATCCCAAATATACCATGTGTTATCCCATTTAACCACTTTCTAAATGCCATTGTGTATTCATAGTATAATACGACCGTGAAGATACGGGCTGGAATTGATCTTCAGTAACCCATGCTTGTCATAAGAATCGACAAACGGGATCGGGTGGTCAGACTCGCTGACTTGGTTGACACATGACATCGTATCCCAATTGCGTAGATCGATGCTCATGCTGTTGATCACTGGATTATCTGGTCCGGACTCGATTATTTACAGACCACCGCTATATAGCTGCAATATTGCTGAGTGTGGCGTAAAGCTAAACTCACTCACTCTCTCTATCACTTACAGTATAATACGCTTTCAACGGTTGATTGGCGAATGCTTATTTGAGGGAAATAAATCGTTAAAAATTGTTGAATTTAACAGCAGCATGCATTTGTTTCAGACTCACTCACCCATATGTGAACGCAGTTAATGACCTACTCTTCCTGGTTACAGATCGAAATATGTAAGTGTGCGGGTATACTGGATACCATACATTTAAATGTAGACGGCATCTATTTGTGGGGTAGCATAGTGATTAAAGCGTCCGCTCCTCACGCAATGTGAGTGAGTGAGTATGTTTTTACGCCAATTTTAGCAACATTACAGCAATATCACGGCGGGGGAACACCTGAAATGGGCTTCACACATGTACCCATGTTAGAATCGAACCTGGGTCTTCGGCGTGACAAGCGAACACTTTAACCCCATTGACCCACCCACCGCCCCAAAAACTTGTAGAATTGGCGCAACGGTGATAAAAACTACTGTTTCAGGAACCCATGGCACTTCCTTGACTTCATCTTTTACAACTCGTCCTCTGGGAAGAAGTTTAAGAAGCAGTGTGACTTTGTACATCGCTGGGCGGAAGACATCATCGAGAAGAGGCGACAGACCTTGGTCAGTGTCTTACTAAAACAAACAAAAACAAAACAATTTGTATGATACATTTCACAATAATATCCAGAGACGGAATGGTCCTCCATAACATTGTACTGCATGTAACCTAGTTCTGTGTTCTACTACTGGATTCTACTCTCTATACATCATCGGTTTATGTTTAACATTGCCCTCATTGTACGATGTAAATAACATTGTCCTGTGTTTAACATTGTACTATGTAAATACCACTATTGCACTATGTACACAACATTGTCCCATGTTTCACGTTTTACTATGTGAATACCACTATTGCACTATGTACACAACATTGTCCCATGTTTCCCGTTGTACTATGTGAATACCACTATTGCACTATGTACACAACATTGTCCCATGTTTCACGTTGTACTATGTGAATACCACTATTGCACTATGTACACAACATTGTCCCATGTTTCCCGTTGTACTATGTGAATACCACTATTGCACTATGTACACAACATTGTCCCATGTTTCCCGTTGTACTATGTGAATACCACTATTGCACTTTTGCACACACAACATTGTCCCATGTTTCACGTTGTACTATGTGAATACCACTATTGCACTATGTACACAACATTGTCCCATGTTTCACGTTGTACTATGTAAATACCACTATTGCACTATGTACACAACATTGTCCCATGTTTCACGTTGTACTATGTGAATACCACTATTGCACTATGTACACAACATTGTCCCATGTTTCACGTTGTACTATGTGAATACCACTATTGCACTATGTACACAACATTGTCCCATGTTTCCCGTTGTACTATGTGAATACCACTATTGCACTATGTACACAACATTGTCCCATGTTTCACGTTGTACTATGTAAATACCACTATTGCACTATGTACACAACATTGTCCCATGTTTCACGTTGTACTATGTAAATACCACTATTGCACTATGTACACAACATTGTCCCATGTTTCACGTTGTACTATGTAAATACCACTATTGCACTATGTACACAACATTGTCCCATGTTTCACGTTGTACTATGTGAATACCACTATTGCACTATGTACGCAACATTGTCCCATGTTTCACGTTGTACTATGTAAATACCACTATTGCACTATGTACACAACATTGTCCCATGTTTCCCGTTGTACTATGTGAATACCACTATTGCACTATGTACACAACATTGTCCCATGTTTCACGTTGTACTATGTGAATACCACTATTGCACTATGTACACAACATTGTCCCATGTTTGCCGTTGTACTATGTGAATACCACTATTGCACTATGTACACAACATTGTCCCATGTTTCACGTTGTACTATGTGAATACCACTATTGCACTATGTACACAACATTGTCCCATGTTTGCCGTTGTACTATGTGAATACCACTATTGCACTATGTACACAACATTGTCCCATGTTTCACGTTGTACTATGTAAATACGACTATTGCACTATGTACACAACATTGTCCAATGTTTCCCGTTGTACTATGTGAATACCACTATTGCACTATGTACACAACATTGTCCCATGTTTCCCGTTGTACTATGTGAATACCACTATTGCACTATGTACACAACATTGTCCCATGTTTCACGTTGTACTATGTGAATACCACTATTGCACTATGTACACAACATTGTCCCATGTTTCACGTTGTACTATGTGAATACCACTATTGCACTATGTACACAACATTGTCCCATGTTTCACGTTGTACTATGTGAATACCACTATTGCACTATGTACACAACATTGTCCCATGTTTCACGTTGTACTATGTGAATACCACTATTGCACTATGTACACAACATTGTCCCATGTTTCACGTTGTACTATGTGAATACCACTATTGCACTATGTACACAACATTGTCCCATGTTTCACGTTGTACTATGTAAATACCACTATTGCACTATGTACACAACATTGTCTAATGTTTCACGTTGTACTATGTGAATACCACTATTGCACTATGTACACAACATTGTCCCATGTTTCACGTTGTACTATGTGAATACCACTATTGCACTATGTACACAACATTGTCCCATGTTTCACGTTGTACTATGTAAATACCACTATTGCACTATGTACACAACATTGTCCAATGTTTCACGTTGTACTATGTGAATACCACTATTGCACTATGTACACAACATTGTCCCATGTTTCCCGTTGTACTATGTGAATACCACTATTGCACTATGTACACAACATTGTCCCATGTTTCACGTTGTACTATGTAAAACGACTATTGCACTATGTACAATAACATTGTCCCATGTTTCACGTTGTACTATGTGAATACCACTATTGCACTATGTACACAACATTGTCCCATGTTTCCCGTTGTACTATGTGAATACCACTATTGCACTATGTACACAACATTGTCCCATGTTTCACGTTGTACTATGTGAATACCACTATTGCACTATGTACACAACATTTTCCCATGTTTCCCGTTGTACTATGTAAATACCACTATTGCACTATGTACACAACATTGTCCCATGTTTCACGTTGTACTATGTAAATACCACTATTGCACTATGTACACAACATTGTCCCATGTTTCACGTTGTACTATGTAAATACCACTATTGCACTATGTACGCAACATTGTCCCATGTTTCACGTTGTAATATGTAAATACCACTATTGCACTATGTACACAACATTGTCCCATGTTTCACGTTGTACTATGTGAATACCACTATTGCACTTTGTACACAACATTGTCCCATGTTTCACGTTGTACTATGTAAATACCACTATTGCACTATGTACGCAACATTGTCCCATGTTTCACGTTGTACTATGTAAATACCACTATTGCACTATGTAAATAGCACTATTGCACTATGTAAATACCACTACTTCGCTATGTATATACCACTATTGCACTATGTAAATACCACTATGTACACAACATTGTTCCATGTTTCTCATTGCACTGTGTATACAGCATTGTCCCATGATTCACAGGGCGGTGGGGTAGACTTGTGGTTATAACGCTCACTCGTCACGCCGAAAACCCGTGTTCGATCCCCGACATGGGAACAATGTGTGAAACCCATTCCTGGTGTCCCCCGCCGTGATATTACTGGAATATTGCTAAAAGGGATGTAAAAAATAACCACTCATTCACTATCATGTTTCACATTGGACTACGTATACAACATTGTCGAATGTTAAACGGTTTACTATGTATACAACATTTTCCCATGTTTCACACTGGACTATGTATACAAGACTGTCCCATATATAACAGTTTACTGCGGATCTACACAACATTGTCCCATGTTTAACATTGTATTATATATACAGCATTGCCCTTTGTTTATTACAGTGTTATCAATACAACGGTATCCTGTATTTAACATATTGTATACACAGGAGAGAGATGGACCCCCGAAGACCCGCTACCTCGACTTCCTGGACGTCCTGCTCAGTGCCAGAGATGGTGATGGCAAGGGCCTCACCCCGCTAGAGATCAGGAATGAAGTCGACACGTTTCTATTTCAAGGTACAGTCACTAATCATGTCGCTGTTTATTGTATTGTACTGACTGACTGAGTTTAGTTTTACGCCGCTTTTAGCAATATTCCAGCAATATCACGGCGGGAAACACCAGAAATGGGCATAACACTGTTGCCCATATCGAACCCGGGTGTTCGGCGTGACGAGCAAACGCTTTAACCACTAGGCTACCCCGCCGCCCCTGTATTGTATAAAACGCTTTTGAAATATCGTGAATAGTCTCCCAACATACTAATTAACATGCGCACGCACGCACACGCGCACGCACGCACACACACAAACAAACACACGAAATCATACCTGATTTCATTGTTTTCTACAAAAGCAGCCAATAACTACCCTGAACCCAAAATCAGCGCAGTTGCATATAGAAATTCAGTCATGGTCGAGCTCGGGTTGTGACATCATAGTGACGAGACGGACGCCATTTATGAAGTGATTTCCCGTTATTCTCGGTATGTGGAAGACATTGTATTGTCTTTACGAGAAGGGACGTCATATGGTGTTTGTTACCAATATTGCATTGAGGATGCTGTCCTTCCTGATGCTTGTTTTAATATGCTTTACAAATAACTTAAACCCATCTTTGGTTTTAATTGTACATCCGATTTTTAGCCACTGGTAAAACCAGGTGTTGCAAGTAATACCGTGTTCATCTGGCAACAAGCAGCCTTGTTGAAAGCAGTCACAGTTTGATGAACATTGTTCTGGAAACTATTAGTCAAATTTGAAATTTGCCTCATATTTTCGTTTATTAACAAAGGTATAAATGCACCGGATGTAATCAGAAACTTTATGTTATTGCCTTATCTTATAAATAACTATACACTTACCTATACACACATAAGGAACCATACGATGTGTTTATATATGGAGAACATGGGTCTTACTTTTAAGTAGTTGTTTTGGTGTTTCCTTGTGTTTTCCTTTCCAGGTCACGACACAACGGCCAGTGGGATATCATGGACGCTGTTTACCATGGCCTCCAAACCCGAGTTCCAGACCAGGATCCAGGAGGAACTGGACATTCTACTGGATGGAAGAGAATCCAAACACATCACCTGGTAGGGCACATTACCTCGCAGGGCACATCACCTGGTAGGGCACATCACATGGTAGAGCACATCACATGGTAGAGCACATTACTTGTAAGGCACATCACCTAGTAGGGCACATTTAGGACACATCAACTGGTAGGACATATCGCCTAGTAGGGCACAACACCTGGTAATTCACATTAGATGGTAGGACACATCACCTGGTAGGGCACGTCGCCTGGTAGGGTACATCACCTGGTAGGGCACATCACCTGGTAATCCTCATTATCTGGTAGGGCACAACACCTGGTAATTCACATTAGATGGTAGGACACATCAACTGGTAGAGCCCATCACCTGGTAGGGCACATTACTTGGTAGGCACATCACCTGGTAAACTTCATTTTTGGTATGTCACAACACCTGGTAATTAACATTAGCTAGTAGGACACATCACCTGTCAGAGCACATCACCTGGCTGTTAGAGAAATGCTATTGGGGTTGGTGCTGCAACTAACATTTTCGTTACTGTGAGCAGAACACACAGCTGTTCCCATTTTGTTAGAAATCCATAAGAATGTCAGTTGCAGATCACCTTTCCGAAGAGGAATAGCCTGTACATGTCGTACTAATATGGGTTGGGTTGGCGACGACTGATTGGTAAATGAAAAGTGAAATAAATCTGTATATGTTACAGGGATGACATCCCCAAGATGGAGTATCTGACACGATGTCTGAAGGAAGGGATGAGGTTCCACTCGCCTGTTCCGCTGGTCAGTCGGAAACTGGAACACCCCATGGACATCGACGGGAAGGTCTTTCCAGTAGGAACACTCATTTCACTGGGGATATGGAATGTTCATCATAACCCGGAAGTGTGGGAGAACCCGGAAGTGTATGATCCTGATCGGTTTCTGACCGAGAACATCCAGAAGAAAGACCACTATGCATATATCCCCTTCTCCGCTGGCCCGAGGTAATACTAAAATTTAGTTGGCAATTACGATAACTGAGTGAGTGAGTGAGTGAGTGAGTGAGTATTTTTACACAGCTTTTAGCAATAACCCGGCGGGGACACCAGAAATGGGCTAGATATTTTGTACTCATGTCGGGAATCGAATCCGGGTCTTCGGCGTGAAGAGCAAACGTTTTAACCACTAGGTCTGTAAATAATCGAGTCTGGACCAGACAATCCAGTGAGCAACAGCATGAGCATCGATCTGCGCAATTAAGAACCGATGACATGTGGGAACCCAGTCAGCGAGCCTGACCACCCGATTCCCTCTTGGGTAATAAAGTGTACTAGCCACATGAAGAAACTGTGCACACAGAAAATAAATTCCTTCAGAATTGGAATACAACACAGAAAAGACGAAATGATGTAGACACTTTATAAGCTGAAGTATCGGACCACAACAAAATGTCAAAATGTCAAAACACCATAAACAATATCCGTACCGATGACGTCAGAAGTTCAAAATCGAGTAGGGGGTCACACGACGAAGTCAGAAAGTCAACAACGGGTATGACCACCATGTGCGTGAAGCACAGCCGTGCATCGACGACACATAGAGGCTACCAAATGAGCATTGAAGGCCTGGGGAATGGTCTGGGACGTGGTCACTACCGTCTGGAACCTGTGTCCGAGATGAGTCACCCGAATCCATTTGTCCTGTCTTGGCGTCGTTACGTCGGGGGCGCCCAGAACGTGGGTGGTCGGCGACGTCATTACTGTTTCGATAACGCCTGACCAATGCAGATATCGTGATACGATGGCATTGGAAATGTGCTGCCATCTGTTGTTGGCTCATTCCTGCTCGAACCATTCCAATGGCTTCATGACGTTGAGCAGATGTTAATCTTGGCATGATGTGCATGTGACTTCTCATGTGAATTTGTGAACGTTTGAATGACATAAGATCAAGCTTTCGACAGTGACAGCAATTTCTGAGTCTCACATGTTGTGTACAGCTGCACGGGCCGCACGTGCAGTAACACATTGCAAGTCCATAGGCCACCATCAACGACGTCACGTCGTCTGGCACGTGCATGAGCGTTTGATTGTCTCCAATACTTACTATGTTCACACCTGTATTTATGTATAAAGACGCTGTGTGCCTATGTTTATATTTTTGTGTGCACAGTTTCTTTATGTGGCCAGTATATTATCTTACCTTATCTTATGATGTCACAATGCTAAGATCTCTGTCCCAGTGGTATTAGAATTTGCTTGAATCGCGGAAAGCGTCATCACACTGTAGACCGTTTCTATCAGTTTATGTTGGAAAGAAATAAACAGAATACTAAACTGGCTTCCCTGAAATACCATTTGTATAAAACTCGTGAAAAATTTAGTACCAGATCATTAACTCGCTTAATAAAAATGGTATTATACGGAAGGTCGTTTAATATCTTCTATGAATAAGTAATATCATAAATTCATTAGCAGTTTTTGCCGTAATAGATTTGTGACGTTTAACTTCCGCTGGACATTTTAAGAATAAAATGTAACATTAAATGAGAATGTGAGATTGTTCATTATGACTTTTCTTTTCAGAAACTGTATCGGGCAACATTTTGCCATGAACGAGGAAAAGATCATGCTTTCAAGAATACTTCACAGGTATTCAAGAAACCTTTCTCTCTTGACATAAAGTGCACGAAATCTCCTTAAAATAAATATGTTGTTATTGGAATGGGGTTTTTTAATGAGGTTATTTTTATATATTTTTCCTTATCCTGATTCATGCTATATTGCTTATCTCCGTTCTGCTTTCGACGGTTACGTGGAAACCTGAAGCCCAAGTTCCCTAAAGAGAACGAAAATCACACGCCATGAGTTGCCTCCCTTTTCCCATCAAACGTGTCCCATGTGACTAAAGCCAAGCTCTCATTACTCTCTCCTTTATTGCCCAAGCAGACAGCTGAGCGGTCACTATGGGTCCCTTTTGCGACTAATATCTTTCCAATTTCGGCCTATCTATCCAAATTAAGGCCGTTAACTGTATTGAGGCTGGTTAAGAAAAAGAGATCTTCTGCATCGTCTAAGAAATCATCTACGTCGAAAACAACATCATCACATCATTCATCTAGATCTACTAGACCATCAAAGTCTCCCAGTGAGACTACATCGTTCAAGAATGTATTGACGGCATTAGACGATATAGACACATTGCTACCGGTTCTCGAACCACAGATAACTGTGATAACTTCACAGAAGACGACGACAAGTTAAACCTCAGGGTTTGGGAACCCTAGCTCGCAAAAACAACCATGAACTGTTTCAGCGTCGAGGAAAATGCAGCCATCTCAACGTAGACCTTCCTCCACACCATCAGGGCTCGCAAACCCATAGATCAACTCTACACGATCTACGGAAGGGTTAGTGAACCCGTTGGTCAACAATAAACCAGCTTCGTCTCAGTCTACTGATTGTCCTGATTGTCTCTATACAATTCGTGAAAGGGTTCGCGAACCAGTCAACCAGCAGTCAATCTACTGTATCTCTACCTGCCCAGAGAAATATAGAACCCGCGACTGCATTCACGAACCCATCTATGCAGACAACCTCAAATAAGCAGCGTCATCATCAAAGCAAAACAGCTTCAGCTACGTCACAAGCGTTCGCGAACCCTCTAGAGAATGCCAGGCTACTGTTGGACCGGGACTTTGTGTCAAACATTACCAGACAAGTCGTTTTAGCCATGCAATAATAACAACGTTCAACGGAATCACATATTCCTCACAGCCACTCTACTCCAACGGAATCTATCAGTGACTCCATTCAAGACGAAGCAGCGGCCTCATGTGTGAGCGACCATGAAATGGAAGATGACCATGAAATGGAAGATGACCATGAAATGGAAGATGCATCCATATATACAGACTCAGAGGTCTTATCATGGATAGCATACCGATAGCATAATCCCAGCAGAGACCTACTGCATTGTAGAGGAAGACTTAAAAACGCTAACTATCCATCCTATAAAGCCAATATCGCAGGTCCCACCTAACCTCAAGGGCAACATACTCCGGCGTTACTGGGAGAAAATTTCCCTTACACAACATGGAACCTTCTTTCAGGCGCAGGACATAGATGACGACTTCCATCTCCTTGGCGACGCTAAGTCACGCAGCTATAGAGTGGAAGATAAAAAGCTGGCAAATCTAGACACGAGAAGGACCTTCTTCGGGCTGACTAGATCCCAGGCTATCAACGAATCTTTGATCAACAACTTCCAGAACCCTAAGACAGAGACCATCGACTCGCTGTTAGCAAAAAACGCTGTGCAGATCCTAGACCAACGCGGTCTCACTCCCAGCGTTTATTCTCCAATTTTCCCAGTACCAAAAAAGAACTCATCTACAATATGAAGCGTCTCAATCTGGACTATTTACTAGAACCGGACAAGTTAATGTTGCTGCACTTACCACAATTGCGACATCTAATCAGACCCAACGACTACCAGCATAGATCTACTAGATGCCTACCTGCACATCCCTATACATCCGGGCCTCGAGGAAGTATCTGCGCTTCCTGTATAAAAGGCAGCACTACCAGCAGAGGGTCCTCCCCTTGGCCCAGTGGCTATTTACACGTGTAACAAAACCCATCATTGCGTTTCAACATCAAAGGGGCAGGGTACAGGCGCATCAATTAGCAGATCAACTCAGACGTCAACTGCATTTTTTTATCCAGTTACTAACGCAACTGAGCTGGCTACGAAATGATATGAAGTCGGAACTAGAGCCATCACAGGAGCTGAAGTTGCTAAGCATCAAGTTCATCACCACAAAGAACAGCATTGTGGTTCCAGAAGACCGATGCTTAAGCATACAGGCATGTCTTCAAGCAGCTCTCAACTCACCTCTAGAACATGGCAAAGACTACTCAGTCTCCTCACGTCACCACAGGGCCTAACACGCAGAGGAAGATGTTGCGACCACTTCAACACTTCCTACGACCTCATCTCGACAGTCTGCAGAAGATATCCATCCCTCAACACCTGAAGTCGTACCTACTATGGTGGACAGACAATTCGAATGTCTGCGACAGGACTTATTTGTAAGAGCCAGCCTACAACCTACATCTCTTTGTCATCTCTACAAGGATGGGGAGCGCACTTCAGCGAAGAGGTTGCATCTGGAACTTGGTCACTAAAAGAAAGAACCTTGCACATATATCAAGTGGAATTCAAGGTGGTTAGCGAGGCAGTTCAACACTGGACGCACCTACTGAGGAATCAAATCCTTATGATTCACATGGACAACTCAACAGTAGCCTTTTACATAAATTTCCAAGGCTCAATGAGATCAGGGCCTGTACTGCAAATGACGTTCCAACACTTCAAGGAGCAATGAACGTCTTAGCCGACGCCTTATCCAGACTGGTCCAACCATCACCCACAGAGTAGATGCTTCACCTAGAAGCCTTCCAACTGCTGACAGTAGATCAAGCCCGTCCTCTCATAGATCTGTTTGTGACAGGCTTCACTCATCAGATTGCGGCGTTCGTCTCACCAGTACTAGATCCACAAGCCTGGGCCCTCAACACTTAAGCCATCTCTTCGGAGGAACTGAATGCGTACGCATTTCCGCCACTGATCCTGTTTTTCGTTGCGCCCTAGTGGCCACCGAGAACTTGGTTTCCAGACCTTCTACAGCTCTTAGGAAAGCCAGCACTACGCCTACAAGATTGGCCGAATCTACTTATCCACCCTCACACAAACAACATCACTGCAACCAAACAGTACTACGGCTACACGCATGGAACGTATTATGCACTGTTGAAATGAAGAGGGTACTCCTTCAGAGCAGCTAAGGCAGTTACACTGGCCTTAAAACGATCAACTTTGAACCTCTACGATGATAAAAGGAAGAGTTTGGATCAATTTGCTGTACGCAAGGAATTTTCGGCCGTGAAAGCTACACATCCTCAAGTAGCAGAGTACTTATGTCATCTGAGAGCTACTAGACAACTGAAGGGATCTACACTCTCAACATACTTGGTGGCGATCAGCTCTGTTATCACCATGGATACGGGAGTTAAACTCACCAAAGTACCTGAACTCGTTGCTCTGAGAGGTCCTTTAAACTAGAATAGCAGCGGAAATTTAGAGCTCCAGCATGGGACCTTAACGTAGTGCTGCAACATCTTACCAGTGACGACTATGAGCCACTGAGAGACAACTTTTGAGCTGTTAACTCAGAAAACATTATTCCTCCTAGCTCTAGCTGCACCGGCTAGAATGTCAGAAATACATGCCCTCCACTACGAACCACGTTCGACTCCGGAGCATGCTGCAGTCCACCTGGGTCTCAGATGGGACATCATTGCGAAGAATCAGCTACCTCGTCAACCGGGTAGACAGTTCCACGTACCAGCACTGTCTTCGGACCTTGGACCACACGATACGGACGATCTGTCCCTGTGCCCAGTCAGAGCTTTAAAAATCTACTTAGAACGGACTGCTACAGGAAGGAGGAAGTTCAAGCATCTCATTATCCCGCTATCACCCGCCATGACTATTGAAGTCTCCCGAACTGCTATCTCATCTTGGATGAGAGCTGTCATCCTACAAGCTTACAAAGCAGCGGGGCTAGATCCTCCAACCCACACGGACCCGTGAAGATCCGGGGTAGAAAAGGTCTTCAGCAACCCATGTGCTTGCCATAAAAGGCGACTATGCTTGTCGTAAGAGGCGACTAACGGGATCGGGTGGTCAGTTTCGCTGACTTGGTTGACACATGTCATCGGTTTCCAATTGCGCAGATAGATGCTCATGCTGTTGATCACTGGATTGTCTGGTCCAGACTCGATTATTTACAGACCGCCGCCATATAGCTGGGATATTGCTGAGTGCGGCGTAAAACTAAATCACTCACTCACTCACTCCAACCCACACGAAATTAGAGCTTTAGCCTCGACACTCGCACAACATGGGAACTGCTCTTTATCATCCATCATGGAAGGCTGCTTTTGGAAATCGAACAGTGTTCGCCAACCAACATCTGCGACACATTGTTACCTGAGATGTATCTGGTATCCACCATTTCGGCCCTCTTGTAGTAACACAACAACTCCAATTCCAGCCAGACGATGAGAAACTCATGTTGGCTTGTTCACGCCAGGCAACTGACCCATTGCCACTGGTAGAGAGTCCATGTTCCCAGTCTAACAGGATAAGTCAGCGTATGGGTGATTTAGACTCAGTTTCGCTAATAGTCCTTACCTTAACATATGGATCGTTCTAGATAACTAAAATACATTAATTTTGCTTCCTCATTCATGCTAGAGAAGGTGGCCCTGCGGATGTCATCAGGATATTTTGGAAGCTGCAGAGAATAGTTCCCAGGGGGTATGTGAGCAGACGCTACTGATCAGAAAAGAGAACAGTCACAGTGAATCCCGTCAGGTGGCTGACCCCACCACCTATTCCGTCGGATTCAATAAGCAATATAGCATGAGTCAGGATACTGACAAATATGTAATTTTAATGATAAAATTGATATTTTATACTTAACCTGACATGATCTAAAGGCCCTCCCAGCCGCCCCCTCTCAGCACTACAGGCTTATTCAGGAGAGAGTGATGTGAGCTGAGCTTTACTCACGTAGGGCCCTTTTAGCGGGAAAAGGGAGACAACTCGTGGGTGAGTGATTTTACGTTTTCTACAGGGAACTGGGGATTCAAGTTTCTACTTAACCGTCGAAAGGAGAAGGAAGATAAGCAATATAGAATGAGTCAGGATAAGTATAAAATATCAATTTTATCATAAAAATTACATTTTTGATTAACCTCGGTGAATTTATTTACATGTTTGTCTTCATTGCCCATAAAGCATTACACTTTGATATTTCAGATATACGTTACAGGTAGATTTAAGCCACAAAGTGGAACGAAGGAATGCCGGCGTGATGAAGTCAACTGAAGGACTGTGGGTGTTCGCTAGACACCGACACAGTACATCATAGAGAAAACGTCAATTCAAGACAACATACAGTCATCCAAGGACACACATTCCATTATGCTTAACGGCAAAATATCAAAACAATAACACCAGGTATCAACATTCTATTTCCGTGACCACGTGACCATGAACGTGGATTATCATTCACATTATGGATTAACATTGACTTGTAGTCAATAATAATGTTTTATGTCAACTATAAACACGATCAAATACCGTATGGATAAAGTAATCGTTTGTCATTGTTGAAATCCGTGGAGATCCGGGTTAGAATTGTTTTTCAGCAACCCATGCTTGTCGTAAGTCGACTTACCCAATTGCGTAGATCGATGCTCATGCTGGATTGTCTGGTGCAGACTTGATTATTTACGGACCGCCGCCATATAGCTGAGAATATTGCTGAGTCGTTCTCTTTGGGACAAGGAAATAACCCCACGCTCTCACAAGTTGTGTAAAATACATCTTGCTGAGCATAAGTTTGATTTGTATCACTTAGTCTATAATAGACAAGACACGACACATGTGCTGAGACACGAAACAGGAAAAAAGTACCTTGGATTGGCTTTTGAGCGGGAACGGTGGGGTTTCTTAATGGTTAAAGCACTTGTTCGTCACTCTGAAGACCTAGGTTCGATTCCCCACGTGGGTATAAAGCCCATTTCTGGTGGCTCCTGCCGTGATATTGCTGGAATATTGCTAAAAGCGGCGCAAAATCATACCCATTCACTGAAGCCTAAGCGTAGCCCAATTTGTCAGAATATATCCCATTCTATAAAGAAAACAGTGAGTGGGACGCTTGACTTCACTGATGACACTGAATGTGTCAATTATAATCGTTTTGCTACAAAAAAATATATATGGTTATATTAAATTTTCAAAATTGTATTGACTTTATTCGTGAAAGTTCCACGTAAATGATTTTCACAATAAAAAAGAAGAAGAAAATAAGTTCTTTTTCCTGTAAACGTGCCCTTTAAGCAAAATATTTCATATGTTTTGTTAAGACTTTGCTTCATGGAGTAGGCAAACCCTTTATCACCAATTGTATTCCTGACTTTGCTAATCTATTTCAGACCGCCTCCGTGGTGTAGTGGTTAGAGCGTCCGCCCGGAGAGCGGAAGGTCGCGGGTTCGATCCCCGACCGCGTCATACCAAAAAACGTTAAAATATGGTACTTGTTGGTCCCTGCCTGGCTCTCGGCATTAATTGGTACAACAAGGACTGGTCGTCTCGGAGTCAGTATAATGTGTCTGTGTGTGGCATTCATGCTTCACTGCGGCATGGTATCTCAGTGGGCTAGCACTATAAAACCAGTTTAAGTCTGGGCTAGCACAGGCAGCCGCACATACACCTACACACGCATGCACGACGTCATATGAGCAAAATATTCTCAAGCACGACGTAAAACCCAATTTCACCTCACCTCATCTGTTTCATGGTGAAAATAAGTGCATCTGGCTAAGACGTCTAAGTGCTAACAATACGATAAACAGATATCGTTCAATAGCCATAATAGCCAATTCCCTGATTTTCCCATCTGAACTAAAAGTAAAGGAGACCATCTCATCTCTTCAGAACTACGCATAAAGGGCTCCACAAGTCTGTTTAATAATAATAATAATACTTTATTGCCCAAGAAGGGAATTTGTCTTGCGTTATGGACGCTGGAATTACAATAATTACTTATATCCATAACACACATTACAACACGAACAACATCAGTCACACGATCTGAGGAGCTCTCACAAATTACAGTGAGCAATCAACAGTGGTTAAAATGATTTAAAGTACGTTATAACATGACCAAATGTTGTTTTCAAAGATTAAACGAATGTAAAGGGGGAAGGATAAAACTGGACATTAAGAAAATAAATAAATAAACTACAATGTATAACACTTTAAGACTAGCACTGGATACAGAACAGATACATAAAACACAGTAGAATGCTAAGAATAAATAAAACTACTTCTGTTTGTTTAAAATAACAATACTGTATGGGATAAGAGGGATGACTTCAACCCTCCAAAACCAAACTTTCCCTTCATGCTAAGTAATATTTCGCAGCTACAGGGTTTGATGTCGACATTTCGAAATGTTTCGAGCATTCACTTTCTACGAAATCAAGGCGTGTAATTCGTTTACAACATCCGATGTACATGTTGGTAGGTCAGGTTTTAGGGCAACCCTGTGACTGACAAGGACTCTGTGCGCCCAACACTTAACACATTGTTATATAAATGTTTGGTTAAATTATGTCATTCTATCCCGTTTGAATGAGCAGGTTAAACAGCTCTTGCATGCAACCATACATTACATTATCCCCGAGTATTGTGTTAATTGTAAAAATGTTTGGTTTTGTTAAACAGAGTTGTTTTGAGAGCCTGACGTGTTTTTTATGAGCTGGACATTCACTAAGAGTACTGAACCGTTTCTCGGCAGTGTATGTTACAGTATTCACATAGGGGAGAGATGGTATCATCTGCAATACTTCTATGCACATTCAAGCCACGATGGCCTAGCCTGTGGCGAGTCAAAACAACTTCATCTCTACGACAACGCCGACGTATTATAAAATGTTTGCTTACATGACAAGCGCAGTACACGTGTCTACGAGTAGTTTCATTTTCCCATTTGTTTTGCCAAGATGCATTTATTGAAGATGAAATGGCAAATAAGTAATCTCTTGGAATTAATATATTAATTATATTCAATATCTCCGCTTCCAGCTAAACCAACGTGCTAGAATCCAAGCAATATCACAGCATGAGTTTGAGTTTAAATCCGTATCGAGATACAAGCTCATCAAACACCAAACTGTCCGATTCTATAGCTTATAGAAATGAATATTGCGTTAAAATGAAAACATGAAAGAAATTGTCAAGTATGTAGAAATGAAATCTCCTTGGCCATGATATTATTTAGTTCGGTATTGGCAGCTGGTGATATTTCCATTTGCCGCCTTTATTGTCCTTGAAAGGCTTTAGAGTCTTTCATCTAGGAATAATAAGTTTAAGTGCTGGGATTACTTGTATGATATTTAAGGAGAATATATGTGCTGTCATTTACAAAATCGGTACTGGCACATCTTTAGTCGTGATATTAGTTCGTTCACGTGGTGTTGATAGGACCAGGCTGCTGCCTATATTGTCTCGCTGAAAGGCTATCCTATACGATTCATATGCGTTGCGAATATTAGCAGCATGTTTGGTGTAACCAGGAGGCCATATGTGCCTTCATTTATACAATGTACAGGTACCTGACAAAGCTGATACGAAATACACACACACACACACACACACACACACACACACACACACACACACACACACACACACACACACACACACACACACACAACCGTGTCGTAGGATAAGGGAATATTATTTTCAAATTAAATCTGTAAAGCTATTCGTCGAGTACATTTTCCTTTGTCTCAGGTGCTCATTGTAAGGCAAAGTTGAGCTGACCGAAGGTGCTCTATCATATCGATGACTTCAACTGATCAAGTTACAACAAATGGTCTGTTGTGATCAAAGGAAGTTATTTTGCATGAATATACAGCATGAGAGCACAATTTCAATTTCAGCATAAAACGATGCTATGAGAAATGAAATCTCCTTGGCCAGTGACCCGTGAAGGCCCGGGTTAGAATGAATCTTCAGTAACTCATGCTTGTCATAAGAGGCGACTAACGGGATCGGGTGGTCAGGCTCGCTGGTTTGTTTGGCACATGTCATCGATTCCCAATTGCGCAGATCGATGCTCATGCTGTTGATCACTGGATTGTGTAGTCCAGACTCGATTGTTTACAGACCGCCGCCATATAGCTGGAATATTGCTGAGTGCGGCGTAAAACTTAACTCATTCACTCCTTGGCCAGTGAAGCAGGGAGCTCAAAGTTGCTAACAAGATTCATTTTGTCATTTCTATTTTTCATTCTGGTAATGACTTGTGTCATTAAACAAATGATTATTTAGAGACGATTAACCAATTAGATTTCTAATGCCATTAGTACATATTCCTATGAATTGATAGTATCAGACAAGACAAAAAGCCTTTTCAGAATTCGATTCATTACATGACTGACATGGATTCTCACAGTCTTCACCACGTAATACCATAGATCCTGAACATGAGATGAACAGGACACTGGATGGCTGTTTGATACAGCTGACAGAGCGCCAAGAAACATGACCACACTTTAATGCGATATCAAAAGCACAGACGCCATTAACCCGGATGATCTGATGCAGACAAACCAAACACAAAGATGTTTTGACAGAGGAATACAAGACGATATTATTGACATGCTTCATCACAAGGTACATGCGGAAAGAAACTAAAGCCTCATGTACAGATCCAGTACTTAGAACACTATACTCGGCGAAAGAGGAGGGAGTATTTGTTTTACCAAGCAACTGTCTGATTCTCTATACTCATGTGTATGTTAGAACGTCTAAAAATAAAACCTTAAAAAGGACTGGCATTAGTGTGTTGGGAAAAGTCTTTATTCAACAAATAGTTACACATAAAATCACATAACAGATTATGAGAGTCATACAGTCTTAAATCACATTATCACGGTTTGGGGGAATGTTTCTTGTAAGCAAAAAATCAGATGGTTATACATTGTATGTTAATAGCTTGAAATCAGAAAATTGTGCTGAAAACTTTTACAGTTCCGTTCTATTAAACTATCAGCGCAGCTCATGGCGGTTCACTTGGAGATCGTGAGCGAGAAGGTCCTTTACGCTTTAATGGCAGCGATGGAGTGACTTCCATATCCAAAAGTATTATGAACCCCCAGAGCAACTGTCAATGGTAAAGGTACCTCAACATGTTTGAGGCCCTTTGATTTTTTCTTGAGTGTTTCGTTTTCCTTTTTTGTATGCGGTGCATTTCGTTTTAAATCAGTAACAGGTTCAGGTTGACTTTCAGGTTCATCATAATTGTTTGTTTCTGGTATAGTTTTAGCAGACAACAACAGGGGAATGTGAAGGGAATTTGTCAGACAGTGACATGGATTGCAAGTTGTTACGAGAGTGTGTTTTTTGTAATTTGAATTATCATTGATTAAGTGATAGTTGTTATTGGGTCACAATGTTTACAGTTTTGAGTGTGGGTTGTGGGTCACATTTCGCAACATATATGTTCAATGGCAATACTATTTTAGTGGTACGCAGTTTAGATAGTGCTCCAGAGTTACCTGCCCTTGACAATCTT